CCCCCCCCCCCCCCCCCCTCTGTATACGGCCCTGAGCGAGGTGTTTTCGATGTATCTTAAAAATGTTAGTATAGAACTATTTTCGAGTAAAATTTCCGGGAATTAATTCATTCTTTATTTATCATTTTAACTTGACTTTGTTTCCACGGGTCTGCATAAGTGTTTCTTGTATTTACCGTCATATATCAATAAATCCATGATAATGTCGCCCAATTTCCATCAATGTGGAAACACGCCTGTGCATGGAAAGTGAAAAGTATAGGGTTTTTTCTGTCCGCCATGTTCTCAGCAAGTTCCCTAAAGAGAGGTCGTCGCCCCCTTAAAATATATTGAAATTTAATAATCCAGGTTCTTTAGGGCATATGCTAGATATGCGCCTGATATGCGCAGTAAAAACTACCTTACGGTTTTCCCGCAGAAGCGAGACCTCTGTATGTACTAACTCTGTACCCGTACGCCTATAATCTATACGTATGAAAATTGAATATTACTGTCTCAGAAAACCTTATCTTGAAAATGGCATGCAAAACTGTTTGGAAAGTCTCAGAGATCAATTATCACTAATTGTAAATTAAAGCGAAAACTGCTATAATAATGCATATAATATATAGGTATCTACTCTCTCAAGCATATATTTTTAAATTTGAGTTAACCAATCAATTTATTTTATAGTCTAGCCGCCATTATTTTGGCAACGTTGTCTTACAGCAACGCATCAATGTTCAACAGTCAACCACAACTCACTATAAAAGCTGAGAAAAACAAAGCATTTTACGAATCCTGTCATATTGGAACGTTCAACATTGAAAGTGGAAACATAGCAGATTGTCTGGAGCACTGTTTGGAGAACTGTCGGTGTCAGTCGTTTCAAATTTGTCAAAACACAAAATGTCAACTGTGTTCAAGTCACAAGCAAGAGAACAGTTCATTGCTTCATGAGAAAAAAGACTGCATCTATGCTATGTACGAGATTTAACAGAAACGTTTCAGGTAATGCATGCATGTATTGCCATGTAACGCTTTCAAGCAATTTAAAATTTACGTGCATGTTTCTCATGTGTAATTGAGGCACTGTTAATTTCAAGGAGTGAAACCCAGCAGAGTTATTTTAACTCCAAACGTGTCGTCTGGAGAGTGCAGAACATGATACCTTCATACTTTAAAATATGCATGCATGGAAGGGATTTATCTTCGACTTACACTCCTTGTTAAATAGCTTATAACTAGCCATTAATAAATTTCACTTGCATTTCATATTCTTAGTCACTGGAGGGTCAATGTTCACTGGAGGGTCAATGTTCAATGAAATACAACTGTTGTCACCAATCGAATATCTGTCCCAAGAACAAAATATGTAAACCAATCAACTCCCTCAAACAAAAGCAAAAGCCCTGGAAACGTTTTACCTGCGAATGCACCGATGATTTAATACCATAGAGACAACTGTGACGAGCTAATCAGATCATGTGGCGGGTATTTGGACCGTCACCGAGAACCGGGCATGTACCAAGTAGTGGATTCCGTCAATGGTTTGTATGAAGTATACTGTCATTTCGATTCTGATCATGTAGCGTGGACTCTGGTGCTGTCGAAAGACATTTCTATCAGTGAAAATGCTCTAACATGGAGTGGCTATCGACTTAGCAAACCAAGAATGAAATCTATTAAAAATAATTCAATTTTCCTGCAGTTCACCTGTGATTATGAGAAATATCTTGATTTAAAGATATCCGACTACGCCCAAATTGACCTTCGAAATATTAGAACCTGGTCGGGAGATGAGAAAGTCGACGTTCTTGAGTTCAGCGGATATACACACCATGATACTATTGGCAAAGGGCGTGGTAAAATCGGAGAATATGATTTAAATCTGTGTCAAATTCGGCTCCATCAGGGGACGGATTGGTCTTTGCATGTTATTTTTATAGATAGCAAAAGTGCTGTTAATCCAGCATATACGGGCAACTTATTTGCATGTACCGAGGACGGTTTTGGGTTTTTTGGTTACTATTATTATCTTCGTGATTGTGGAAAACGCTTTCATAGATGTGTAAAGAATGCTCATTCTACGACCCAGCTTCTACGATGCTCATTCTACGACCCACCGAGAATCGGGCATGTATAAAGTAGTGGGTCTTAACGGTTCAATGTGTGAAGTATACTGTCATTTTGATTCTGATGGTGCTTGGACACTGGTGCATTCTTACAGCTATGCAAACAGTACAACTGGCAACAGCAAATTTAATACACCTTTATCAGAAAGTCACCCTGTCAATGAAAATGCTCTAACATGAAGCGGATATCGACTTAGCAAAGCTAGAATGAAATCTATCAAAGAAAATTCAACTTTGCTACGATTCATCTGTGACCACGACAAGGCTCATAATGTTGGGGAATCAGATTACCTGCAACTGTCTCTGAATGATTTTAGGGCTGATGTTATTGAATTATCTTATTACAGCACTGGCGTATGGATCAAACGTGCTAAAATCGGAGGAATTAAGCTAAATAGCAATTGTGCATCTTATGTATACCAAGACAGCGCTACAACCCTGCATGGCAGAATGAAACTTTTTGAATGTGATTTCAAACCGTCTACAACATCTGAATGTTCAAACCACTCTGGAATTGTTTCACTCTTTGGCAATTACAAGGGAACTCACTGTCTTGAAAAAACACATGTATGTTTAATTAAAAGTGAATCCACCACGTAGCTATGGTTTGGCCTTAGACGTATTATGCTATTTATATAGATGTTATATTTTGACTGAGGAAGAGGTCCAGATATTAATCTAGTTATTTTTGTTTGTACATGCGAAAAAAGAACGAAACATCCTACTTCATATACAGTTCAGACCGATAACAACCTCAGTTAATGAATGAGCTATTTATTGTACAATTCACGCATGCTCAGACTCAGTGAAGATAAGTTGACTTGTTATTAGCTGGCAATTTTTGGCATAAAGTAACTGCTAGGATGGGCCATAGGAAATAAGGATGGGGCATGAAATTATTTTCATCTGTTTGGCCATGGGTGGGCCATCAATTTGTTTTTAGTGCAAATGGATGGGCCATGAAACACATTATATATAGCCTGTTTGCACTCAATACATACTATAACTACACAGTAAAAACAAATTGGTTAAAATGACCAAAAAAAATTGGTCGTTTGAATGCGTCTGAGACAACCAGTTTAAATTGGTCGTTTTAACCAAAAAAGTAATTGGTCAAATTGACCAATTATTTAATTGGTCAAATTGACCAATTATTTATTGGTCAAAACAACCGGAAATAATTGGTTGTTTTGACCAATAAATAAATGGTCAATTTGACCAATTAATTATTTGGTTAAAAAGACCAATTTAAACTGGTTGTCTCAGACGCATTCAAACAACCAATTTTTTTTGGTCATTTTAACCAATTTCAAATGACCAAATTAAAATTGGTTAAACATTTAAATTGGTTAAAATGATCAAAATTGCTTTCCATTTCGCCATTAAACCATTCAAAACGTGCTTGAAAAACAATAATTTATTAACAAATAAATATTAAGATTAAAATACAAAATCAATATACAGTATATGCAATATAATAACTTATAGGGATGAAACGTCACACGAAACCTCTCTGACTGTAAATATTTCTACAATATTTACTCGTCAAAGGCTATCAAGTCATATAGCCAAAACTTGTGAAAATAAATATTTACACGCATGCATGCATGCAGTCAGAGAACCATTTCATATTTCACAGCGGACTCCGTTTGACCGTAAATTCTAGAGCCAAAGGGGCGGGATTACAGTTGGATTTAGAGAAATGTGGCGGATAAACAAGAAAGGCCGTTGTTTTCAAAACGGAAAGCCCATTTCTGCAAACAGAGATGTAATATTGTAGACGAAATCAAATTTTAGATTTTGTTGATGTAGCGATGAACTATATTTGTAATGTGCAAGTCAGGAGAAGCAAATGCGAAGGCCTTTATCGTGATATTTTTCTCCTTCTCTAACAATCCTTTTATTTGAAAGTTGAAGTAAGACGACGAGAAATCAACTTCCGTGTCGTCAACTTCGGTTGTAAGACGTGGATGTTTCGAATCCATCGTAAGAGAAACTCATTAGATTTTCTTCTATCATAAAAACGAGCGTTGCTCTCTTTGCAGCACAATAGTCGTAAATAATTAACTTTCACTATGGACATAGTTATCGACAACTTTATTTAGCAAAAACAACAATGGCAACGAAGTGCATGGCACGCATTAAACGGCTTCTATCTATTGCGCGCCAACTGTAATCCCGCCCCTTAGAAATATTGTCATTGTCACAGCCCAACGTGCTTTGCGAACGCATGCTGCTAGATCATGTTGTTTTACTTGGAGAAGATGGGTTGATCTTTGTGATTGATAATTTTGGAGGATGATATGGAAGTTGATTTGTCAAATAAAAGGATTGTTATAAAAGGAGAAAATATAACGACAAAGGACTTCGCATTTGATTCTCCTGGCTTGCACATTACAAGTAGTTCATCGTTATACAGTGGGGGTCAAAAGCAGTGGCGTACTACGCAGACCTTCATTTTGGGGGGGGGGCAAACTCATGCAAGGCATGAGACCGTCTTGGGCAGGGGGGGTTCGGGGGCATGCACCCCCAAGAAAATTTTAAAATCTAGATCCCCTGAAATGCGATTTCAAGCATTTTGGGAGTGAAATCTTGGACAATTCTGAAAATTATTTTCCCAGACATTTCTCCTCGGAGTTAAATAAGTTGGAAAAGTCACCTTGAAAAGCCACCTTATATGCCACTGGTCAAAAGTCTGAGTCCAGTCAATATGATCTTGCCTTTTTATATTGATATACAATACATTTTGACACAACACACTACTATATGTGCAACAAATAAGGATATACACTACAGTTGGAATTGATTATACTATATTAGCCAAGTGAATATTATATTGATATTTGTGTGACCTCCTTTTAATTTTAAAACAGCTTAAAATCTTCCTGGCATACATGTAGACTGAACAAATTTTGATGGGTTTTTTCTTAGTATTTAATATGGTTTTTCTTAGTATTGATGGTTTTCAAGGTTATTCCAGAATTATTGATTAACAACATGCTATTGGTTGGCTGCTTTTAGTTGTGGGATTATGTTTCACTTTTCATAAATTCTCAATAGGATTTAGGTCCGGCTGGAAGTTGAGGCAGAAATCCAGAACAACCAGATCACACTATACCATCTACAGTAGCTCAAGGTTGTGTGGAAGGAGATTTGTCTTGCAACGGATAATGATCCGAACCACCCTTCTCACATGTGTAAAAATTATTTAAGAAGAAAGCACGAGAAAGGCGATTTAGTTGTTACAAAATTTTCTTCCTCAATCTCGGGACGTAAATCCTATATTGAGAATTTATGGGACCATTTGAAACAAGAGAAAGTGAAACATGATACCACAACTAAAGACAACCTACTGTATAGCATGTCCTTAATCAATGCTGGAATAACCTTAAGCCAGTAGTACTTAGAACACTTGTTGAACTATGCCAGAAAGAGTTAAAGCTATATTCTAAAATCAAAAGAAGGTCACACAAAATAATGTTCACTTGGCTAATATTAATTATAATAAAATCAATCCCAACATTGATGGAAATCCTAATTTGATGCACATACTGTATATTAATTAATGCTCTGTTGTGTGAAAATATATTGTATAAAAATATATCTATCGGTCAAACGGAATCAACTGTATGTATGCGATACCCTTGGACATGCATGCATGCTTGTAATGTTCTATTTCATAAAAGAAATTAAGTGTTCAACTGGCATTAGCAACATGCATGTAAGTCTCTTCTTTCCACTGCAGGGAATAAGAATATGTTCCAAAAATAAAAACACATTCTTACTGTGTCAAGTTACACCTTCAGCACTATACACACACAATATGCAAACAAAATACAGATATTTAAGATATTTACAGCTTTCAGTTTGGTGACAACCATTCCTTCAGCAACAAACATCATGCAGAAGTCTTGGAGATACATATTTCTTGATCTTCTTTGTAACATCACCATCCTGTTGATTGTAGGTAAAACAGGAAAAGATAAGTGCATGCATATCAAGACTGACTATATGATTGATAATATTACTGACGAAACACACTTAGAGTACATCAACAATCTCCCAATGAAAACAGTTCCCATAATACCAAAGATGGATTTTGGATTTTTGGTGGAAATAGTGGGGGAAGTGGAAATAAATTTAGGGAAGGTGAAGCACTTAACCCATTGAGTGACAGCACTCTGACAAGTGAAATTGTCTGACATCCAAAGTGGGGCACATTGCCACTTGAAGGGTTAGTTGGGTGCATGGACGGATAGTTTGATTAACCCATTGAGTGGCGGCACTCTCCTCCTGACAAGTGAAATTGTCTGACATCTAATTAGACAGTAAAATAACAAAGTGGGGCACATTGCCACTTGAAGGGTTGATAGGGTGCATGGACAGATAGTTTGATTAACCCATTGAGTGGCGGCACTCTCCTCCTGACAAGTGAAATTGTCTGACATCTAATTAGACAGTAAAATAATAAAGTGGGGCACATTGCCACTTGAAGGGTTGATAGGGTGCATGGACAGATAGTTTGATTAACCCATTGAGTGGCGGCACTCTCCTCCTGACAATTGAAATTGTCTGACATCTAATTAGACAGTAAAATAATAAAGTGGAGCACATTGCCACTTGAAGGGTTAGTAGGGTGCATGGACAGATAGTTTGATTAACCCATTGAGTGGCAGCACTCTCCCCCTGACAAGTGAAATTGTCTGACATCTAATTAAACAGTAAAATAATAAAGTGAGGCACATTGCCACTTGAAGGGTTGATAGGGTGCATGGGAAGATAGTCTGATTAACCCATTGACTGTCAGCACCCTCCTCCTGACAACTGACAAGTAAAATAATACAGTGGGGAGCATTCAGGCTGCTGGGCACATCGCCATTTGAAGGAGTGACCTTACATTTATGAGGCATTAACCATATATATTTGGATAATACCATGAATCTGGCTGGATATTTTCAACTATCCAACATACTATATCGTGTACATATCTGGCTGGATAGCAAAAACTATCCAACCTATCCTGTATCCAGCAGGATAGCAAAAAAGACTATTCTCTACACCCCTTCAAAGAACTTAAAGTAGGTAACATTTAGAAGAGGAAATTGCTTCTTAGGTGTTAATACTTAAAACGTGAAATATGGGCAAGCACTCCACCATCGAGTTAAATATCGCAGTAGTTAAAGTGGGGAGTGTTAGGTAAAATTGCATCTAAATATGTCAACATGAAACATGGGCAGAGTCTAGCTAGACACTTCCCTGGACAAATAAAATTGTCCGGCATTAGTTAAGATAACATTTAATTTTAACAAAGTGCTGAAAATTAGGCTTATTGGAGTATTATTATTCATGCATTTTTAGGACTTAACTGTCAATAAATCAAGTTGCCATATAACACATCAAATTGACATTTTTATCTAAACCGACCCACTTATACTGTATATATATATGAATAAACATTTGAAACTTATGAAAGTAGCAGTTGATATTATTAAAGTCAATAAATTCTCTCAAGCCATGTTTAGCTGGGACGTGCTTAAGTGGGCACATGATATGAGGATTGAGTAGAAATGTAGAATGATGCCAATTATAAAGCTATATTATTCTAGACAAGAAACATTGTTACAAATTATCTGTCATATTATTCGATATATAAACTAGGGCTGAGTCAAATGCAAGCCTTTGTAAAAACTAATGTATTTATATTATCGTTTTAATTCAAATATTGTCGCGGCAAATTCAAATTTTAAGCCGGAACACATGGTTCAAAATTCACGAATGAAGATTGCAAATATTTCGTTTCAAAATTGCTCTATTATATAGAAAACATAACAATATTCTTACCTGTATGCTAGGCAATCATCCCTGATCTTTTATCCTCGTTAAAAGGCATCGTCTTGCCTTCAAATACTCATTTTTACAGGCAACAAAAAATCAAAATGAATAATAAAAATTTCGAATAAATATGGCGGCGTCAGTGTGATGACGCTATCCCGGGAGGCTTTGCGCGTGTTGTCGGAAAACTAGGTCCCAGCCTGTCCGTGCGAAACCGCGCTCGTCGATCGTGAGAATTTTCGTTTGCATGTTTATATGTCACACGACAAACACTATAAATATTTTGTGTAAATAGAGTTTCCATGAACTCATGAAGAATTTAAAATTAACTCGGACGGCAAAATTTTGACCAGGTAAACTAAATAAATACAATTGAAATATAAAATCAATATCAAAGTTTAGCCACTGTCACTGACACTGTGTCTGTGGTGTATTGACTAAAGGTCTCCCCTCTCTACGAGTAAAATCTAGTGTTTGACTGAGTAAACCAACAAAGGCCAACAAAGGTATGGATGTATTACAGAAATAAATTACAGAATTGGATAACAGAAAACACTGCCAGATCAGATTTGACCCATTTAGAATGGGTTACTGATTTGACCAATTTCGAATTGGTTATGGATTTGACCAATTAAAAAATTGGTTATGCATTTGACCAATTTCCAATTGGTTATGGGAATTGACCAATTAATAATTGGTTACCCATTTGACCAATTTACAATTGGTTATGGGATTTGACCAATTAAAAATTGGTTATGGATTCGACCAATTTAAAATTGGTTATAGAGATGACCAATTTAAATTGGTTATGCATATGACCAATTTTAAATTGGTTGGGGATATGACCAATTTTTATTGGTTATTTTGGGAAATTCAACATTGACTGATCAAAAGAAATTGGTTAAATTTACCATTTTAAATTGGTTAAAAATTCAACCAATTATGTATTGGTCGAAATGACCAATATTTAATTGGTCATGTCAGACTAACCTATTCTTCTATTGGTTAAAATGACCAATTTAAATTGGTTGCAACCAATTTAAATTGGTCATTTTAACCAATTTGTTTTTACTGTGCAGGATTGCTTGTAAATGCATATATCACTATGACACTATCAAATAAATATACAAATATATTTGACAGCCTTGTTTTTTAGAGCATATTATTGACTAATGAACTAGAAATAAACGGATGATTCACAATGAAAACTTTAAAAATGTTAGTAGAAGTAGAAAACTCGAAAATTTATGTTTATTCGTATGACAGTCTGTGCGCGTCTGACACTGTAAATTTGTGATATATAGATTTAGTAGGCCTATATTAGGAAAATATTATGATTAATAAAGACCAAGAAAAAGGCTAAAGCCTGACTATAATAACCGACTACTATGTACTAAATCCAAAATTTTATAATCAGTGACAGACTTTCTCTGTTTGGCTAGTATCAAATGTTTACATTTGCTAATATTGGGCTCTACTCTAGTCCCAGACGACAGACAATACAATACTGTTTCTTTCAATCTTATATTAAAACAAGACCCGTAGACGTAGTAACAAGTAATTAAATCGGTGCAAAGCATATAAACATTTGCAAGAAAGGACAAATCTCATTTTAAAAACATTACATATGAAGAAATGATGACTGAAAAGCTCATAATAAACGTTTGTTATAAAACCGCGTTCGAGTGTGAAGAGACGGCATTGAATAACAACACCGGAGAGAGCACTGTGAGTAACGATTTGCTTGCTTTCTTGACTTGACTGTTGGTAAAAATGTAAGAATGTTCTTGTAAATTCAAAGCAAAGAAAATAAACAAAAATTAGCAAGTATTTTGAACTTAATAATGTTTTTAACTGTTAAACAAAATATCTCAACTGGAATCATGTAATTTGATACTTTCCCCACGCCCCCTCGGGCGCTAAATTTTGGACGAGGCACGTGACCAGCCCATACCAGGGTATTTCCTAAATACCTGGGAACGAGGTTGATAAAAAGCATGCAAAAATTAGCTACCAAAGGTAGGTTTATTAAAGTTATGTCTACTATTAGACATGACAATGAGACAAGGTTTAATGCAATAGAGTGAAACGTTTTATGAATTTTATTTTATTTGTGATTAAAGTTGTTTACATTAGCACGAGTGACTTTATTGAAAGGATAGAAATACACATTGCTGTGACAAAGGCGATAAGTTAAGACCATTTCGCAATTGCTTTTGCTTTTGTCAATGTTTAGCCCCAGGGGAGGTGGGCCGGGCGTACCCAGGGGATTTGACTTGGTTTGCTTTCCGGTGGGTGGGGAATAATAAGAAATTTGACGTTTTCTTGTGACCCCAGGGTGGGGGAATTTGACGTGGTCGCTCAATTGCAATTCATAATCTTTATGATATAAATCTATTGTAGAGGTTTTACAAAGCACTGAACATTGCAAATTTACTTCCTGGGGAGGGGGCATTTGACACAACAGATTGTCCCCTGGGCAGGGAAATTGAGACGAGAATAAGTCAAAATGTCAAATTCCCTGGGTATGCCCGGCCCCCTTCCCCTGGGGCCAAACATTGACGAGTGCATTAGGCCACTCCAATTTAGACTTAATACCAGTTTTTGAGATTATTCAAATTTATGGTGACTTGTGATTTGAATTTTGGAACCCTTTGCTGCTAATGATAGATTGAGCCAATAAATTTTAATTTAATTACCATGTATTTTGAGAGTCATTATCAGTAATTATTGCATGAATGGAATACCAGCTTTTGTGATCACCAGTTTAATAATACTTCAATTGTCTGATCAGTTTTATCATGGTAAACAAATTTTATTATTGTTATTGACATATTACGATTATTCAAATTCATGATGATTGTGATTTGAAATCCTTCGCTGCCATGTGTTCCCTGGCAAATTTTTTAAAATAATAAACCTTGATAGTTTAAAGGTTTCGTGACCACCATCTGGGGTGGAGACAAAACCTTTATAAGATGATGCGGAATGGTGCTGTGAGCAACATATATTTTTTCCCAAGTCCATATGTTGCACATTAGCACAAACCACCAGCCCAATTATTGAACATTGGAATCGAGGAAGGGACTGCAATCCTGGACAAAACATCTGCGACACTTCCAATTACTTGATAAAATGTCGTAATATTATCGTAAATTTAGAAAACCTCCCCCTTTCCCCCACCATTCAATGTTGATTGCATTCGTAGAAAACGGATAAAACGTCCAACATTGTTTAGGGGGTGGAGGGGGGGCAAACGAGTAAATTATTCCGATCTAACTGGCAAAAAAAGCAACAAATGAATGTTTTAATAGAGTGTCGCAGATGGTTTTGTCCAGGATTGACAGGGTCCGAATTTTTATAAAAATGCAATAAGCATATGATAAATCAACAATGAAGCATATCAGAAGAAAGAGCACATCAAAATTGATATGTTTACTAAGTTTGAAGATGTTCGGATTAATATGGGTGGAATGACAAGCTTTCTTAAATCTCAAAAATTCAATTATCGCCTATATTTTAAAAGCTTACTTGCACTCAAACTCAAAGAGTGGAGGTTCAAGATGTGCTTCCTTTGAGTGCCGAAAGCACGCCTCGAGCGGCATAGACGCAAATTTTCTACAGTGAGGAGTCGGAGAGCATGCTCCCCGGGGAATTTTTTTAAATTCAGAGTCTCTGAAATACCATTTCCTGTACTTTGGGCAAGATTTCACAGAATTCTGATGGTCAGAAAACGACATTATAACATGTTTTGCTCTACAGCCTGAGCTTGGGGGCTCCCCTTTGGCTCTCTCGCAATTAAGGGGCCCGGTTTACGTTGGGGGCCCGGGGCAAGTTGCCCCACAGTCCCTCTCGGCGGCCCTGAGGGTGAGTACTCGCATAGTATGGTACGACACTAACCCTCCAGCTACACTCTTTGAGTGTAAGTGAGCTTTCAGAATACAAGCGTATGAAAACATAAAAATAGTGCACGGTCGTCCCCCCAAACAAGGTTTGTAGTTTTTAAGAGTTTCTTTAGTTAGTCCTCTTGGATGTCAATCTCCGCCGCCTCATGATCATCATCATCATCTTTCTCGTCATCTTCAAAACTGGCTTGCCCTGCAATGTTACTACAGGTCTTTCTAGCACAATTGCACAAATCTGTGCATGGTACATTGTTCTCTAGGCAAGTACATAAACTCGCATCGCTGCAGCTACTTTTCTTGCAACTACTAGTGCAGTGTGCAAGTTCCATAACACTATCTGGAGCAGGAGGCAGAGTCATTCAGTCTACCACAAGATTGCCGTCTTCTATCTTCCAGCCATGGTGTTGGGGAGAGGGTACATCTGGTGTTGCATGCAAGCTTTGCTTGAAGATACCTGTAAAAATTGTATGAAAGATGAAAGTTTTCTTGAAGTTGTTTCATACAAGTATGCCTATATTCTACACATGCAAAGCAGCATTCACACCAACGTAATTACTATTTCACACATGCGAAATTAATATGAAAGTTCTCATTTCAGCTTCACCATGATTAAATTAGCTGCTTGGTAATTTGCTCTCTTGATGTGCTGCGTCAGTGCATCTTAGTTGGGTGGCATGGCATTTTCGGACTTTCGTGCTAAGCGGAACATGTTGTACCTGGCTACGTTGACCTGTTCAACATCATGTTGCCCATACAATTTGCACACAAACTTCTCCAGCAGCACTACCATCTCTGGCAGAAGATCAAATCGTTCTTCCAAGATCTTTGAATGCAGAGCACAAGTTCTTGTCATTGAGGAGTAAGTTGAAGGCTTTCGTCTTTCCTCTTCCGTAGAAGGCACTCGCACTATCACACCCGGTGAAACAATGCAGCCCTATCAAAGACTGCCTGACGTCATCACCAATGCTTTCTTGAATGGCTTTGATATCAATTGTTCGAAGATCAGCTCCCTTTCCAGTATGAGAATACGGATGGGCAGCAATCAGTGGTTGCAACGATACCCCGATAACAAGAACATCAGTGTCAGGACTCCCTATGGTGACATCTGAGCAGGTTTTGGCTGCATGAGCTGCATGAAGATACAACCTTGTATCGGCTTCTTCTTGTGTGGAATTCAATTCCAGTACTTCATGGACTTCAACAATCTGATCTGCTGTGTTACCGGGTATTGCATAGAATATATCACACTTGCTTCCATGGGCATAATAGACCTTTACACCATGGACGTCGCACATCTTCACTGTCTTCCATGTGTCATACAAGTACTGGAGCAGCGCTTCCTTGTTTTTACCACACGAGAGAAACTTCTTCCATTGCAGTGGAATTGCCTGCCCATAGACGCGTATCACCTGCGAACCCCAACAGCCCTTTTAGCCCTTTCTGCATTTTTTATCGACTGGTCTCTGTAGGTGTCTTCAACGAAGTGAATTTCATTCGATCCATTCCCTCTTGCCAGATTAACTATGCGTCTCAGTAGCACATGTGCAAGGTTAAGGAAAGTTCTTTCACCTGGGAGTTTCTTTACATCCACCTTCTCGATCTTTGCCATTGAATCCACTACAAAGATACCCCCTCTTGGAATTTCTACGATCGCTTTTTCCGGTTGACTTTCCAGACTATATAGCATCTTAGCCTTGTTAGTTTTAACAAGACATCCAAGTGGTGTACACAATGCTAAAGGTACTGGTCCCAAGGAGTATGATAACAGTTCTTGCAGGTCTACCTTGCGGATGTGTCCAATAACGTCTAGTCTAGCTAGAAGATTTCTGTCTGCCTTTAGCGAGACCTCCTTTCCATGGACTTTACTCTTTGTAGTTTTGGACATACTGGTAAACGTCTTCAGCTTCAGTTTCTTCATGGTTGTGAGCAAGTCCACTTCCCGTGTTTGAAGACGTTCTTTACAAATAGCAATGAATGCAGCTTCTCCTCTATCATAGGCAGACTGTAAATCTTTTTCAACTTCTTCAGTAGCTACTGTACCAGATGTGATGTGCAGCAATTCTTCTTCCTCATACTCGAAGGGATTGATCATACTGTTTGTTGTTTCCACAATTTTGTCAACATCTGCCTTGTCCTGCTTCATCTGGCTTGGAAGGATATCTGTTCTGATGCAACCTCTTTCTCTCTTGCCAGCCATGTCCTCACACTCCCTTGTTATTGATCCCCTTGCATGGTGTGACCATATCCATCTGTTCACACTTCCTTTGCTTGTTGTAAAACCTGTCATCCCTCATTTTGTCTTGGGATCGCGATTGGCGGTCTGTTCAATTGTCTGATCGCAAGCTATTTGAGCGAATGCATTCTCGCTTCTTTGCACAGTGAAGTGGCCTTCTATACATTGCTGATGAACTGCTGTATGAGTGGTTAGAAGATCTCTCATTTCTAGCCAATACACTGGAAGATATCGGCTGTAGTTAATATGGTCATATGCAAATATCCAAGGCAGCATACGTCTGACACTTGCCAAGTGCAGATTCCAGTTTCCCTCTCGCGTACCTCTCAGGAAGAGCAACAGAACCTCTACCATGTCCAAATACGAGTTCCAGAATCTGAAGGTCTGCTTGCTGTTACCTGCCTGTATGGACTGGTCAAAGGATGCTACAAACTCTTCAAACCTATCATTGTTCAAAATCTCAAAGTACTGAGGACTTGGAAATGCTTGTTGTAAGTCTGCCATCACTTGCTCCACTTTGTTAGCTGCCTCTTGCATAAGGGAATGTAAGCCTGTAGCATCATTCGGTGTAGTGCATCTGACATCAGCTTATTTGACCTGACTGCTCTATTGTAATGTTTGCCAGAAATGACACCGTTCATTGAGCCTATGGCGACGACCTCCGACTCAATCAGTACGTCTTGTAGGCCAGCATCTCCAAAACGTTTGCCAATGCATCCCAGGAATGACATGGCTGTATGGAATGCCCCAAGGCGGATGACCAGTTTCTTCATGAACTGCGCATTTTCCCATCTAATCAGCTGTGCTTTGGAATAAATGGCTTGATCCATTACAATGACAATTGCCTCTAGTTCTAACTTATCAGCAATTTGGATGCTCTTCTGTAGTATTGTTAATACTGTACTCATGTCTGTGGGACTCCCATCTATCACTGGCAAATACCCTATGCCCGATCTTGGTGGCACTTCAACTTGAGTGAGTAGCTGATTGTAACCAGTCCATGACGGTAGAAATCTATCAACCTTTGAACTTTGTGACAAGATATGCTAGGTCCAGCTTCTCAGGATTCTTTAGTAGCGGTGCATATGTTGACTGCTCGAATGAAATCCCTGCTGCAAATGGTGCAGGACCTTCGTTTTTCCCCCCATAATATGTGGCAAGATTCGCTAGTGGTGGTTCCATTGACCTCTTCCGTGTTCTCTTCTCTAGGACATCAGTTGTGGATGCATTTGGAGGGTCAGTTGTGGATGCATTTGCAGGGTCAGTTGTGGATGCATTTGCAGGATCAGTTGTCGATGCACTTGGAGGATCAGTTGTTGATGCATTTGGAGGATCAGTTGTCGATGCATTTGGAGGATCAGTTGTCGATGCATTTGGAAGATCAGTTGTCGATGCATTTGGAGGATCAGTTGTCGATGCATTTGGAAGATCAGTTGTCGATGCATTTGGAGGATCAGTTGTCGATGCATTTGGAGGATCAGTTGTCGATGCAGTGGTGTTGCCATGCTGAATAACTATCCCATTT